TCCTAGTTTTACATCGATAGTTTGAGGCATAAAATAGACTCCAATAGATGTTGTATGCGAGTTTCTAAAATACCCAGTGGGCTATCCCACCTATTCCGCTTGCCAAAGAAAGCAAGCCTGCGAGTGCTAGCTATTGGCCCTTCCCACTGATTTCATGGGAACTGCATTTTAAACTTGCAGTTATTATAATGAACCAGGAACTGCATGGATTATTGTAGTTATTTATCATAGGAACGTGCTCTCGTGTTGCCATTTTTAGACTCAATCTTGTCTTTGTTCATGATTAGTTGAATCATGATCTATTGGTGAATAGGGTTGTGGAAAACAAATTAGCTCCAGTCTATTAGCATGTGCTTGGAAGTTGTCAGGTTCTCCACAGCGCTTTTCAGTAAATATTTGTAGAGGTCATCTTAGCTGAAAAATGATGTGTTCCACCATAGCGGTGATTAACAATCAATACTACAATTAAGCAAGTTGAGAAATACTATCATAACCATATCTTGCTTGTTTCTTGATGTTATAGTAACAAGAATCCATTCATCCGGATCTTGCTATCTTCATACCTTTTACTCAAAGCATACATATACCTAAAAGTGACATACACATATAACTAGTAAATTAGTGTTCCTGCTAGGTGTTGCCATTCTAGCATAGGCCATGGCAACCTCGAGTGACCTTTGAGTGCACTGCTGTCAGTTTTGTTCAGCTTTGCTGATTTCTATACAATAGTTTTATAGTTATCATTAACATATAAATTTTGTAGAACCATTTTGTACAAAACTATGTTGTACATATTTCTATAAGATGGCTTTACTGCTGTCAGTTTCAGTCATATTGCTTGGAACCATGTTCTAGCCCAAGTTATTGTAGATTGTGTATGGATGAGTTTGCCTATTTTTTACTAACATGCCAATGTTATGCTTGTGTATGAATGAGTTTGCGTATTTTTACTAGCATGCCAGTTTTTTGCTTGTGTTGTGCAGGAAGTAGAATTTGATTGGGCCATTAACATTTGAGCATTCTTAGAGCAATTGTACAATTCACAACTAGATATATGCCTAAAGATAGGTCATATAGATTTCTTTTGTTATTGTAAGCATATTTATGATCTTTTTAGTTTCAGTTTGGAGATTGACATGGTACCCTTGCACTGTTTACCAATCACTTGACATGATACTCTTGTATGATATATATAATCTTTAGTTTTAAAATGTGTTCACGGCTTCTATTGCAACAATGTTTCATTATTAAATTATCTAATGCAATATGGGGTGCTACAAATTATTGTTTTGTTGTGATACAATACTTGTTACCACGATGCTCATTTGTTGCAATACATTACTTATTACCATGACACTTGCTTGTTATGATGCAGTACTTATTGGCATGTACATTGACTGTTGCTATAATAGAGATTTGCCACGTAAACTAGTTCACTGCGAAAGCATCTCTAGGCGATGTACATCATGTGCGGCAATAAAGGCTATTGCATCTGACTACATATTGTTACAATAATTTCTATCCCAATGAAATATTTTGCGTGGCAAAAGGATAGATTGCAACTTTTTTTGTGACAAGGATAGATTGCAACGAAACAATGCACATAGCAAAAGGTCCAATTTCAACAATTCAATTGCTGTGGCAATAATGCGATTGCCACCAAATAGCTTCGTGGCAATATAAACTATCACCATGTCGATAGTCGTCGCAATAGTATTTATTGCCATGATATCATGCATGGCATCTGTTATCTATTGCAATGGTCCATCTCGTGGCAATAAAAACTATCGCCACGTCGATAGCTGTGGCCATAGCCTCTGTTGCCACGATATCAGGCGTGGTCTCTATTATCTATTGTGATGACCCAATGTCGCGGCTACTGACATGTGTATCACAACGAAAACATAAATCCGAGTCGCAAACTTTAGACCATGTCAATACTTGCCACACCTCCCAACAAACACGATTTGGTTGCAAAGGGTACATATTGCAACCATTTGACCTTATTGCAACATTTGTCGTCATTGTCCAAGGATCAAAACTTAGTAGTGGAGAGAAAGAAGCCGTAGGTTGGATACCAGATTGCTAAACACCTATAAGCTTTTGAATCTTCAACCTTTTACGATCCAACTTTTTAAAATTCAAATTCCAAAAATTATGCTTTACAATGTTTAGTTAAAATAAGAATATGTAATTTTGTAAAACTTGTTGCATTTCTCTTGCTAGGATTAAGAATTGCATGCACCTAGCTTTTGAACTTAATGAAAATGTGGATACAAAGTGAAATGAATAGTGACGTGTATTTTCCTTTTGAAAGCCATGGTGAAGCAAAATTAATTAATAATGGCAAAGTGTCTAAAAAGAATCAGATACAAATATAAGTCTATGTAATAATCTCCTTATGTGGTTTAGTTGAAATTGAGGCCAATAAACCTATGTACAATTTGCAGGCATAGTCTATAACCTTGTTTGTTTGTTGGGATCAGGCCGAGACCGCATGCCCAACTAGGGTTGCCACATATAGATGTGGGGAGGAAGGCACAGAGGTTGGAAGAAGATAAATGATGGCCTACATGTAAGTGAGAGAAGGAGAGAAAGAAACCATAAGCTAAAGTCTAGGCTGGTAAACAACTATGAGTTTTTGAACCTTGAGCATTTTACACTAACTTTTCACAATCCACAAGTTGTGTACTAGCTAGAATCTCTAGTCAAAATAAATAGGGCCTAAATATCCTTGTAAAAGATCATTGCATTTCTCTTAATGGGATTGAGAATTACATGTACATAATTTTATGAAATGTAATGAAAATGTGGATATAAACATAAATACATAGTAAATTTACATTAAGGATTTATTTGGTTTGAGAGTGAGTTAGTATAGGATGAATCTGTCTCCTGTTTTAGAGATGAGATGGTTTCATCTTTTCTATTTGTTTAGATGCATAAAACGGTTCTAGTTGTTTTTTGTTTGGTTGGACGGATGTGATGGAATGGTCCCTTTGTTATCCATAGTTAATAGTGGGGCGTGCAAAACAATCAAATGTCTCTCCCCTTCCTTCCCCTCATTTTCCTTGCCTTCCACCTACAGGTTGTGCAGGATGCCTAAATGTGGCGAGGATGCCCTACCCACCCACACCACCCATGTAGCAGCACTGTCGCCCACACCTTGTTGTGCCATTGGTGAACCATGGCAGCACAGGATCCCCACCGTCATACCTACCTTACACTGAAATCCATGTCGGCAACGTCATACTTGATGGAGAGGGCATATTTGGCATTGTCACCAGTGGATTCGAGCTTCAAGTCGCTGCATTTGAGCTCCTTGGTAGCAAATTTGAGCTCCCCTTCACACAAATCAATCTCACTAAGGCCAGGCTTCTCCATGTCATGCGGGCATGAGGGCAACAATGCTAGGCGGGGAGTTGGAGGGTGTCAGCATCCGTGTGGGGCTTGCATCCAGGGTCTCAAGGGAATATTCCCTTTGAGGATGAGCTCATCTCTCTAATTTACAACTGAACACTAGTGAAATTGGGGTGGAATTCCTCCAACCAAACGCGATCTAACAACAGCAAAATGTCTTAAAAGATCTGGGTATAAATATAAACATATGTTATAATATTGATACAAAAAATGTCTCCATATATAATTTAGTTGTCCTAGTCCAGTAAGCTTACGTCCAACATGCATACACGGCCCATAGGATGGGACACAAAGCAGAGCACTGTGCTAATCAGGAGAAACTCCGTCAAGGAAAAAAAAGGATGCCAGACCAGAAAAGTTCTAAAGAAATGCAATCCCAAGATATTCTGATGAAGCTTCTTAATTACCACCATTTGTTGCTGGATACCGCAACTTGCTGTGAGCCTAACGGTTAATTCACACTTAATTAGCACGCATGATGCATTTTGTAGCACATAGTATAGATTAGCAGTGGTAATATACTACGTACTCCAGTACTTAGTTGAGATGTAAGCCAGCGAGGCTGGATCCCTCTCTACCAACGCAACGGGCTTGCGGCCTGTGGTTCATTAAAAGACCCCACATGGCATTGGCTCGATCGACGAACACGGTGCTGGCAATGGCAGATTCCTGACTCGATCCCCCGCCAAGTCAAAGCAGCATGCAACACCCCTAACATGAATTTAATGCACAAATCAGGTCAAAGGCATGCAGCCTCTACTATGCTACTGCAACAACAAAAAATTAAAGAAGTGTGATTATTTTTTTCCAATTTTTTTTCTCAATTTTTCTAACAAAGAAAAGAGAGATTGGCAGTGTAGGCAGTGACTACTGGTAGTGTGACTACTTGCAGTGCAGATCTCTCTCCTGCTCTATAAAACCCTCCTAGTGGACTCCATGAGGCTTTACTCTGGAGTCTAGAGTCTGGAGCCTGTAGTACAGCAGTAGCAGTAGCAGTAGCAGTAGCAGCAGCAGCCAGCCAAGCTACTCACTACTACTCTCCACTGTATCTCTACTGTCCTCAAACTCGACCAGCTAGCCACTGTGTGTGAGCTCATCTCTAGACACCAGAGTGTGTGCTCTTGTGAGAGTGTGCGTGCGTGCTCGCGAAAGTCCGTGTGTGGCTCTGTGTGCATTGCCTCGTCGTCCGAGGCAGTAGTACTCGTCACACCGTACCTTTCTTGGATCTGAAGCTCAGAAGAAGCTAGGCTTCTCTCATCAGGTTACAAGGTATGTAATGCATGGTCTGATCAGTATATCCTTTTGTTCATTGTTAAGACTACATTTGGCAAGTTCATAATCGGTATGCTATGATGTTTGCAGGTGATTAAGTTCACCTGAGGTAAGAAACTGAAGATCTAGACAGCAGCAGCTGCTGCTGCTATCAGCTAGCACCATCACTTCACTAGCACAGCCAAAGGTCTTCGAAAGGCCAGGCAGAGGGGGCTGTGGTGTTCTCGGGAGCAACACGCTTAAACGGCTGCGCCTCCGAGAGCGCGTCCACTGATCGGGAGATCGGCCGCTAGCTCCTACGTGCAGCCATGGCGCCGCCTAGCTCGTGGTGGGGCAGCGAGGAGCAGCGCGGCACGCCGGTGGTGGTGAAGATGGACAACCCCTACTCCCTGGTGGAGATCGACGGGCCCGGCATGCCGCCCTCCGACAAGGCCCGGGGCAAGAACGCGAAGCAGTTCACGTGGGTGCTGCTCCTGCGCGCGCACCGCGCCGTGGGGTGCGTGGCCTGGCTGGCCGGTGGCTTCTGGGGCGTCCTGGGCGCCGTGAACCGCCGCGTGCGACGCAGCCGCGACGCGGACGACGAGCCGGACGCCGAGGCCTCGGGCCGCGGCCGCGTCATGCTGCGGTTCCTGCGCGCGTTCCTGCTGCTCTCCCTGGCCATGCTGGCCTTCGAGACCGTGGCGCACCTCAAGGGGTGGCAGTTCCCGCAGCACCTGCCGGGTAACCTGCAGGAGCTGGAGGAGCAGCTGCAGCACCTCCCCGAGCACCTGCGGCACCTCCCCGAGAACCTGCGGCACCTCCCCGACCACCTCCGCGTGCCGGAGCGGCAGGAGATCCAGGGGTGGCTGCACCGGGCGTACGTGGCCTGGCTGGAGTTCCGCGTCGACTACATCGCCTGGGCCATCCAGAAGCTGTCCAGCTTCTGCATCCTGCTCTTCATGGTGCAGTCCGTGGACCGCATCGTGCAGTGCCTCGCGTGCTTCTGGATCAAGATCCGCGGCATCAAGCCTCGTATCCCGGCAGCGTCCGGCGGCATCAAGCCTCGTGGAACTGCAAGGAAGAGCGCGGATGTCGAGAACAACGGTGACGCCGACGACGACGCCGACGGCTACTTCCCCATGGTGCTCATCCAGATGCCCATGTGCAACGAGAAAGAGGTCAGTAGTGGCACATACTCACAGAGTCACAGTAGTGCTTCTTAGGACGGACGTGACGTGACGGACGCATGAATCTGCAGGTGTACGAGACGTCCATCTCGCACGTGTGCGAGTTGGACTGGCCGCGGGACCGGCTGCTGATCCAGGTGCTGGACGACTCGGACGACGAGGTGTGCCAGATGCTGATCAAGGCGGAGGTGACCAAGTGGAGCCAGCGCGGCGTCAACGTCATCTACCGCCACCGCCTGTCGCGCACCGGCTACAAGGCCGGCAACCTCAAGTCCGCCATGGCATGCGACTACGTCAAGGACTACGAGTTCGTCGCCATCTTCGACGCCGACTTCCAGCCCAACCCGGACTTCCTCAAGCTCACCGTGCCACACTTCAAGGTACTTTTCTTTCTATACTACTGCATGCATCGATCTCGTTGTAGCTCATCAGTCATCACATTTCACATCATAGCTAGCGCTAGCTTCAGATCTCAACGTCGGTGCAAGTATATTATATGATGATGGTGCCTTCTAGTAGCTAGATTGATCGAGATTGATGTACGTAAACTATTCCATAAGCATGTGATCTACAACTTGGTTCATGAGCCTAATTAAAGCCATGACTTGGAGATCAGTAGATCAGTAACTCATTCTAGTCAGTCGTTTAGCTCATTTCTCAGTCTCAGTGGAGGCAAAAAAAAAAAAAAAAAAAAAGGTACACGGTGACGTGTTGAAACACCGTTTAGACATGAGACAGGAAACTGTCATGGATGATATACAGTCGTCACTCCAAATCTGACTTCTAGCTAGTACTAGTAGGCATGGCATGACCCATGTATATATATGTATGTCCAAATCTCAGATTAGGTTGACTTATTAGGCAGTTAAGCCATTGGTTGGTGGTGCACATCAATAGATAGGTGTTTATATTAATGACACAAGAATGGACACCTTAATGACCTCGATCCTAGGACTATATATACATATCTTAATCTAGATCCACATGACATGGTAGTGAGACAAAATAGTCTAATCTTTGACAAATATCCAAACGCCCGATTTATCCATGCATCATGCATGGGCTAGCTAGCTGACTGAACCGACGACGACGTGATCCGAATGGTGTGGTGCAGGAGGACCCGGAGCTTGGTCTGGTCCAGGCTCGTTGGAGCTTCGTGAACAAGGACGAGAACCTGCTGACCCGGCTGCAGAACATCAACCTGTGCTTCCACTTCGAGGTCGAGCAGCAGGTCAATGGCGTCTACCTCAACTTCTTCGGCTTCAACGGCACGGCCGGCGTGTGGCGCATCAAGGCGCTCGAGGACTCGGGCGGCTGGATGGAGCGCACCACCGTCGAGGACATGGACATCGCCGTCCGCGCGCACCTCAACGGCTGGAAGTTCATCTTCCTCAACGACGTCAAGGTACTATATATTGTCCATCTGATCTCAGGTCATTAGGGTGTTAGACATTGTGATCGAGCTGTGACACATGCATGTGTGTGCATATATTGCAGGTCCTCTGCGAGCTGCCGGAGTCTTACCAGGCTTACAGGAAGCAGCAGCACAGGTGGCACTCCGGCCCCATGCAGCTCTTCCGCCTCTGCATCCCGGCCATCTTCAGGTCCAAGGTAACGACGAGCATCCAACAACCAATTAGCATGCATGTGTGCAGATCCACTACCATTTATTTTATGAATCGAAATGAATGCATGCATACGTGCAGATCCGTTCTGGAAAAAGGCGAACCTGGTGATGCTTCTTCTTCCTGCTGCGCAAGCTGGTGCTGCCCTTCTACTCCTTCACGCTCTTCTGCGTGATCCTGCCGCTCACCATGTTCGTGCCGGAGGCGGAGCTGCCCATCTGGGTCATCTGCTACATCCCGGTGCTCATGTCGCTCCTCAACATCATGCCGGCGCCCAAGTCGTTCCCGTTCATCATCCCCTACCTCCTCTTCGAGAACACCATGTCCGTCACCAAGTTCAACGCCATGGTGTCCGGCCTCTTCCAACTGGGGAGCTCCTACGAGTGGATCGTCACCAAGAAGGCGGGCCGCACCTCGTCCGCCTCCGACATCCTCGCGCTCGCCGAGGCCGACGCCCACACGCCGCCGCCAAGCCAAGCTCGTGCGCGGCGTCTCCGAGGGCGGCCTCCAGGAGTGGGGCAGGCTCAGGGAGCAGGAGGCCGCCGAGTGGGCCAACAAGGAGGACGCAGCCGCAGCTCTGGCTGCCGCCGACGCCGCCGCGCCGGCCACTCCCAAGAAGAGCAGCAAGGCCAAGAAGCCCAACCGAATCTTCAAGAAGGAGCTCGCGCTCGCGTGCCTCCTCCTCACGGCCGCCACGCGCAGCCTGCTCTCCAAGCAGGGGCTGCACTTCTACTTCCTGCTCTTCCAGGGCGTCACCTTCCTCGCCGTCGGCCTCGACCTCATCGGCGAGCAGGTCAGCTAACCGCCGCCGCCACAAGAATAAACTTAATTAGCGGGCGGCTCGCCATGCACGGCGTCGATCGATCCAGCAGGCCACATGCACAGTCAGTCTCACATATGGAAGGCACAACTTCGATGGACGGATCGGATTAATTTTTAGACATTCTTCTCTTAATTTTATCCTTTTGATATTTTTTGTTCAGAGATCAAAGAGTCTGTGTGGTGAACTCTACTCTTCTGTTCTCTAGCTAGTGCTTCTGTGTTGCTACTAGGGGAGGCGGTTCATTACATTCATATATCAGTACTGCTCAATGTATTCAGTAGCCTTGTTTTCTTTCAACATTACATTATGATCGATATGGTGTAACAGATACTTGTCTATGGATAAAATCAATCTTGTATGCTTTCAAATGTCCATGAGTAAGTTCCATCCTGTGTGGTCGTTAACTCTAATATAATTTGTTGTTGTTGTCGTCAATGGCATAACTCAAATCGATCTAAAGTTTGTGGAGTAGACCATAGAGATAGCCAAGAAGGAACCCTGAAGAATATGTTTCGGAATCTCAAAGCACTTGGTGATATGGTCGGTTTTCACTTCCAAAACTTTAATTTGTTTCTCTACTCTATTAATACAAGCTCGGCAGAAACCACAGTACACCTGTCAGCCATTTGGAAAAACTAAAATGATATGATCAGAATCTGAGGAAAACCCCCATAAAGATTCAAATGATTTGTAATAGTATCACCACCAACTCCAACGCAAGGGAAGAGATAGTGCCCCTGAAGGAAGGTTCCCAGCCGAGGGGAGTGCTCCTTGCCGTGGGGAAAAACTGATCTTGGGAACTGTGCCGAAAGTGCCTATATTACAAAAGTAAAGGGAAGGAATCAATCAGGGACAATAAGACGGTTGACATAAGAACAATTAAAATCGTTCAATGACTAAATTAAACTGCCATTTGTCAACTATATATTCGAACACTGAAAATTATCTTTACAATTTGTAATAATGCCTTTAGGGTTATGGTCAGCTACATATATAAGGCGTTGCATATTACTGTTTGCTAGGCAAACAATAATTAACAACAAGTGAGACGTAGACCTAGTATCAGTAGATCACCTATACTCACCTTTTATATATGTCCATACGTATATCTAATTGTCAACCAATTAATAGCAAATTGTAATTCACATGATTTTTTTAGCATTTATTACAGTTGAACACACAAATGTGAAGCAATGAAGTACTCATGCCCAAAGTGCTTACAAAAATGAAGGCAAAAAGGACCAAGAGGGAGAAAGGACGATCGGCGTCAACAGTTAAGAATCGTTCCATATATAATTTTAACCTATCATTTGTCAACTACTGGGACATTCGAAACTAAAGGGGAATTCTACTCCCTCCCTCCCTATAAGACTTCATTTTAGAATATTTGTGATATTATCAAATAAATACCTGAAATATAGTTTTATAGAATACATCATGAATGTTGATACTTTTTTCATAAATTCAGTCAAATCTAAAATAGTTTAATATAGAACAAAATGGAAATGAAGACTTTAATTTCCAGGCACGGTGAACTATTGTGGGAATGGAATACACGTGGAAGGCAAATATATTGGAAATTTTACATTTCTTAGCTAGCTTAACAACCGTTGACAATCTGACATTGTGGTCCCTTGGAAAAGCCTGCTCGATCAGATCGCCGTCGGTGGCTCGGTGCACATGCTCGTCACCTCGAGCAATGGGGATTTCTTTTATCTGACTCGCCATGATCAGGGCCTTCGTGGGAGAAGGAAGAATCTCCATTGAAACTCAAACCCTCTTACGTACAGTTCGAGAGAATCAACAAACAGAAGTCAAAATCAAACCCCCTCGATAACAAATTGAGGGACTGATGTGATGGCGATCCAACTAAGGGCCCGTTTGTTTAGGCTGATTCCCGGCCGGAACATTTCCGGGTGGTGGTTGGCCGTATAAAATACAGCATAGTTCCTGGCCGGATCCATTCTAGCACTCGGTTCCGTGAGAACTGAACGTGCCCTAAGCAGGATATGAAGATTGAGGAGATTTAAACTTAATATAAGCACAAAAACAGTCACAGATGATGCTGTGTCTCTGCCCGAGGCGCAAAGGATGAGGACGGAACCGAGAACGAAGGCCAAGCTCAGGCAGCGAGGGACAGTCGGCGACGGCGGCACACGGCACACGACACCGGCAAACCGCGAGCACAGCCTCCGTTCACTAGCCTTCCGATGGGCTTTCAACCGTCCCGTGCTATGCATGGGCCTGGGCCCTACCCTTTGAGAACGTACTCTCACTTGGGTTACCTGAAGCCTGGGCCGGGCATTGCTAAGACGGATCTGGGCTAACTACGGGATTGGCTGGGCTGGTCATGTGCGCAATGGAATACCGGGTTGTTTTATCTATGTGCAAGCCGCAAAAAGAGGAGAAACAAGATTTCTAAGCTAAAGAAAGCCGACGGGGATTTTACCGTGAATGAGCAGGAGATGAGGGAAGTGACCAGGGATTTCTATGGCAATTTATTTCGCTCAGAAGGAGTGCATAATATGAAAGTTGTAGTGAAGGTCACCTCAGAGATGAATAATAAGCTGTTGATGCCATTTACAGGTCTGGAGGTAAAGGAAGTTTTTTTTTCTAGATGTTCCCTACTAAGGCACCAGGACCAGATGGTTTCCCGGCTCATTTTTCCCAGCGATATTGGGATTTGTGTGATATATTAAATTGATTCTAAGGCAGTTGCGAACAGACTGACGGTGGTGTTGCCGGAGATAATCTCTGAAGAACAATCGGCTTTTGTACCTAGCAGGTTGATCGCAGACAACATAATCATGGCGTATTAGTGTTTACACTTTATGAAGAAGAAGCGTGCCAGGGATCGCCCTCAAGATGGATATGAGGAAAGCTTATGATCGGGTCGGATGGCCGTACTTGAGAGCTTCGTATGGGCTTTCACCAGCTTTGGGTTGAGACGGTAATGAGGTTAGTTACATTAGTAATGTTTTCGATTCAGCTTAATGGTGACTGCTTAGAACCTTTTTACTCCAACGCTGGGAATCAAACAGGGTGACCTGATCTCCCCTATCTTTTCTTGTTAGCAGCAGGGGGCCTTTCGTGCCTCTGGAAATCAAGAAGTCAGTCATCATACTCAATGGAATTAGAGTGGTGCCGTCGGCCCGACGGTCTATCTACTCTTTGCAGATGACATGTTGTTTTTTAGGGTGGATGGGGAGAGTGCTCAAGAGGTGAAGGAGGTGTTGAATACTTATTGTCAAGCTTCGGGCCAGCAAATAAATATGGACAAATCTTCAATCCACTTTGCCAAGGGTTGCGGCCAGAGTTTGAGAGAACAAGAATACTCTTAAAAGTGCACAATGAAGCTCTTACGGAGAAATATTTGGGAATGCCCTCTGATGTGGGTTCAGCAATAAATGGAGCTTTCAAATTTTTAAAAGATCCAGTTTGGAATAGGGTGCAAGGATGGATGGAATAGTGCTTGTCAGTAGGCGGAAAGGAGGTTCTTATCAAAGCGGTAGCACAAGCAATTCTAACCTTCTCCATATCCTGCTTCAAACTACCCCGAGGGCTATGCCAAAATATTAATGGCATATTGCGCAAATTCTGGTGGGGTTGTAGAGATGGAAAGAGGAAGACCTCTTGGGTGGTGTGGGATGACATGACAAAGCCAAAGCTTTTTGGTGGTCTTGGCTCGATATGGAGCTATTTAACCTTGCACTTTTAGCAAAACAAGCATGGTGACTGCTACAGGATGATAGTTCTCTAAGTACTTGGGTTCTAAAAGTTGTCTACTTCCCATACACTAATTTCCTTGCTGCAGAGATTGGGCCATCTCCGTCGCGGATTTGGCGGTCCATTATGGAGGGCCGGGAAGTACTCAAAGGGGGATTGATACGACGGATCGGTACGGGCAGTTCAACAAATATATGGTTGATGGACTGGTTACTGATGTTGGAATTGAGGAGACCAGTGCCATGCAATCGGGAGAATCCTCCTTAGCTTGTTAGCGACCTTATTGACTCATCAACAACAAGCTTGGATCGTTGGAGACTGTAGGAGTTCTTCACGCCGACAGATGTGGAGGTGATAGCAAGCATTCCATTAAGCACAGTGCCAAGAAGACTTCTAGGCTTGGCATTTTGAGAAGTGGGGTGTATTCTCTGTCCGATCAGCGTATAGAATGCTCATAAGTCAAGTTCCTAGTAGGGAGCACGGGCACCTCGGACAGACATGCAACTGAGAAGGAGTGGTTGACTCTTTGGGGGATCAAGGTACGACCTAAAGTACGCGTGTTCTTGTGGAGGCTAGCTCGATGCTCTCTTCCATCAAAAGATGTGCTTCATCACAAGAACATGGCAGATAATAGCGCCTGCCAGATATGTGGAGTCGAGGACTCTTGGAGGCACTCGTTTCAAATGTAATATGGCATGCTGCATTTAGGCTCTGGAGAAAGAAGAGATTCTTGAACATCTTTGTCAAATTGAGGAATAGGACGTGCGGGGCTGGTTAGCCATGATAATGAAGTCCTTGCAACATGAGGACCTAGTCCGAGTTGTTGTCACCTTGAGGGTTATTTGGTATGTGAGGAGGAAAGTTGTGCATGAAAATATTTTTCAAAGCCCGCTCTCCACACATCAGTCCATCGCCAATTTCGTGGCAAATCTCCATCTCATTAAGCCGCAAGGGAGGGTGCGGCTTGAAGCACAATGAAGTTCGGCTCGGTGGGTCCCCCCACCAAGCGGACTAATGAAGATAAATGTTGACACTGCTTTGGCCAAGAATTCATCAAAGGTCGTTGTAGTGGCTGTTGCTCGAGATTTCAGAGGAAAATTCCTGGGTGCGTCGGCTGTGGTTCTGGAGGGCCGAATGGAACCAAACACAGTAGAGGCCATCGCATGTAAAGAAGTTCTCACGTTTGCCAGCAGTTTGGTTTTGCGTGGTTTTCAGACTAGCGTGTGACAATGCCGGAGTTATCAGGAGCATCC